ATCTGCACATGGTATCCCTATCCAGCTAAGTCAGTCTCGCCGCGGAAGTTGCGTCGTAGAAAGGAAACTCCTCACGTGAAGGAACTTGGCAACTGTAGCCAGGTGGCTGGTAAAGTACCCTTTTGTTCGTTCCGGTACACCTTCTCCACACCAGCCAATGAGGACATTCTTGGGAAGACCGGTATTGGAATCTACCACCTTCACATAGGCGAATTGCACTCGTCCTTCGGAAAATTCCTCGATGAGATCGGCCAACTCACCCTCTGATAATACGATTTGTCAATTTGGGTTAATGGGTTTGGTAAAAAGAAACGGTATCACTAACCTCCGGTGCTTTGAACCTTAAGGACACTCTCCTTACCTCCATCTTGTTGGAAGGCACTGACAAGCGGGGTAGAAACTGAGTAAACAGCCCATTGGCCATAAGTAGGAGACCCTCCATTCCCAGAAGGTGGTGGTGCGTTCACCACTGTCTGATAGCTTTTCGATATCGAGGGGCCATTGGACGAGAGATTGAGAGAAGCCATGACTTCCGGTGGATAGGCGGGGAGAGGGAAGGGAAAGCTTGTCAAGATTTGGATGTGTCCACTCGGGAGAAGTGTGTTTGCTTTTTCTTTGTTACAATATCTATAGCTCATGCGGTATCAGCATAAAAGTATAAAAAGCTTTTGTGGTGATGTGAACTAACTTGAGGGGTTGGATAGATAGGGGATGAGAGGGAGTTGGGGAGTTGACGTAGGCGGACTTTTTTAAACACTGACCGAGAAAATGGATAGAAGCAACGGGGAATAGTTGCTTCCAAGATGAGGATATCGCTACAAACCAACGATAAGTACAGAATCAAGAGAAATATTGAGGACGGTCAAGTAAAACGATGAAGCCTTAAGGTGATGAAAGAGAGAGAGAGAGGAGAGAGGTTAAGGGGAAAGGCGTGGTAATACCATACCTCGTATAGCCAATACAGTCATTTACATCCCATCGTTAGGAATCATCTTCAGATAATCAGGTTATATTGCTTGTAGTTTTAGAACAATCTAAAGATGATAAGGAGTTGACTTCAATTCAAACAAAACTTCATAGCCTTTCAAAAAAAAAGATTTGAGAGTTGTGTATCTAAGCCAAAGCCTTTAATAGTCCAATCGCTATACAATATATAGTTGGAGAAGTGTACTATGTGTATATTTGAGTATGTATTTTACAGATCCTCCGGGCCTGGACTTTTTCTCTTCTCCCCCCAATTCTCACCGACAGAGGTGGGGGAGCTTAGAGCTTTTGAGTGAAGTTTTTTTTTTTTCTTCTTTCTTTCTTTCTCTTCTTTTAAATCGGAATATCTACTTGCTAATTCTTTTTAATTCAATTCGACAATTTCGTCGCTTTCTAAATCACATTGATCTAGCTGTGAAACCCCCAAGTTGTGCAATAATCTGCATCACAGCTTTTCTCAGTTATACAATTCTGGACTAGGTACACACAAGATTTAAGAAAGGGGGAGCAGTCATGGGATCTTCTCAACCCGATCTCAGTTCCAGTCGGGATGCCAACGCGTCTGCTGATCCCTCTAACAATGAATCAGCCACTTCATCCCCGGGTCTCAAGAGTCCCGTGGACTCTCCTCTCCATGAAAGCCCCAATGTGCTAGATCGGCCTGCAGAGGACGTTTTGCCCAGAGATCAACAGCAGAAAACAGCGACCTATGACTATGCCTATGAGAAGTCCATGAGTCACGCCGAGGCAAGACTCTTCTATCAACAACATCAGCTAGCCGCGCGGAACGACACCACCCTGCCTTTGAGTCCAGTGGCCCCAGCCCACTCAGCGGTCGAATCACACCCCGAAGAGCCACTAGCGAACCTTCCGGATCCGATGAAAACTCAAGGCCAGATTTCTCGCGAGGGATCTATGGTCTTTGAATCCGAACCCTCAACACTGCGCCTGAAGTCCACTGGTGAACCCGATCCCTCTGCATCTCACTACCTCGAAGACGACCAAGATGAGGCGAATGACTCTGCCCGAAACCAGGCGGTGCTTCTAGGTGCTGCTCATGGACAGGGACCCTACTCGGCGGCACCGGAAGGTCTGCAGACCGCCGGTGTGGGGATCGGAGGCCCTCAGGTTGCTAGTGGATTTGCGTCTAGCAGTGATGCTGTGACATCCGAGCTGAGTGCCATCTACTGCAAAATCAAGAAACTACTTGATCGGCGAACGCAATACATTGAGCTCTCTTTGCAGGGACCCGGCGATGATCCCAAAGATCAACCGGACTGGGATATCTATCCCCCGCCCCCAGAGCCAGCCTGGGATGATGGCAAAGAATATCAACCCGGCAACATCGGTGGCCCATCTGACCTTGGGGGAAAGAAGAGGAAAATGGGACAAGACATTGGGGCGGATTTTGACATGGAGGAATTGATGCCTCTACCGAAAGAATCACCGTGGACGTACAGACTAGATGGCAATAGCGTATACCAGGTCTTTGACTCCGAGGCTGCTGCTGACCAGCAGACACCAATTGTCCAGATTCCCTCGTTGCGCGATTTCTATATGGATTTGGACGCCGTTGTGGACGTGTCGACCGATGGACCTGCTAAGAGCTTTGCATTTAAGCGGCTGTCGTACTTGGAGGGCAAATTTCAATTGTACACGCTGCTCAACGAATACCAGGAGATGGCTGACAGCAAGAAAGTTCCTCATAGGGACTTCTACAATGTGCGCAAAGTGGATACCCACGTTCATCATTCGGCTTGCATGAACCAGAAACATCTTCTTCGCTTCATTAAAAGCAAGATGAGAAAGTCCCCAGACGAAGTTGTCCTTTTCCGAGACGGGAAACATCTAACCTTGAGAGAGGTCTTTGAGAGTATCAACTTGACTGCTTATGACCTAAGCATTGATACGTTGGATATGCACGTAAGTTCCCGATCACATCCCTTGTCTTTGATTCTGCGAAATCTATGGATGATAAAGGAAGATGCAAGTCTGGATACATCAGTCCCTCCTACGCTCACTCTCGATCCACAGGTATAACTATCACTGACTCTGACTTCGTAGGCACACACCGACTCGTTCCACCGATTTGACAAATTCAATTTGAAGTATAATCCAGTTGGAGAATCCCGACTGCGTGAAATTTTCCTCAAAACAGACAATTACATCAAGGGCCGCTATCTCGCAGAGATAACCAAGGAAGTGATCTCAGACTTGGAATCTAGCAAATATCAAATGGTAGAATGGCGAATCTCGATCTACGGTCGTTCACTCCAGGAATGGGACAAGCTTGCGGCCTGGGTGGTGGACAACAAGTTGTTCTCGCCTAATGTTCGCTGGCTCATTCAAGTGCCTCGTCTCTATGATGTCTACAAAGCAAGCGGCATGATGGAAAACTATGAACAAGTCATCACCAATGTTTTCCAGCCGTTGTTTGAAGTGACCAAAGATCCTTCTAGTCACCCCAAACTTCACATCTTCCTCCAGCGAGTTGTTGGATTCGACAGTGTGGATGACGAAAGCAAGCCTGAGCGCCGGCTTTACAGAAAGTACCCCATCCCACGAGAGTGGAATACCAAACAGAATCCGCCTTACACTTACTGGTTATATTTCATGTTCGCCAACATGGCTTCCCTCAACAATTGGCGGAAACGCCGCGGATTCAACACGTTTGTTCTACGCCCTCATTGTGGAGAGGCAGGCGATCCGGATCATCTGGCTGTCGGCTTCCTCTGCTGCCACAGCATCAGTCATGGTATTCTGCTGCGCAAGGTACCTCTCTTGCAATACCTTTACTATCTCAATCAGATCGGCATTGCCATGTCACCGCTCAGCAACAACGCTTTGTTCCTCACATACGATAAGAACCCCTGCGCTACCTTCTTCAAACGAGGACTGAATGTGTCCTTGTCCACCGATGATCCATTGCAGTTTGCATTCACAAAGGAGCCTCTCATCGAGGAATACTCAGTCGCGGCGCAGATCTACAAATTCAGCGCAGTCGATATGTGTGAACTGGCCAAACATTCAGTCGACCAAAGTGGATTTGAGCTCTCCCTCAAAGAAAGATGGCTCGGCTCGAATTGCTCCGTACCTGGAACCGCTGGCAACAATGTTGCAAAGAGCAATGTACCAGATATTCGTGAGGCATTCCGATATGAAACTTTGCTTGGAGAATTGTCCTTGTAAGTTCACCCATGATGTCTTTGGCGTTGAGGGAAATGGGGCTAACTGCGTATCAGGATCGAGCGATATTCCGAGGGCAGTGGGACCGGAGAGCAGAAGAGCTTAGGTCCAGGTCCACCAGGGGAAGCGGTGCCCTCGAATCGTGGTAAATCTATCCGGGGGAAATGGTGTGGAATCCCTGCAGCAGACTAACTTTCAAATCGCCTTCTTTTAGATCTGCATACACGTGACCTCGAGTCACAATCTGAGCCAGGTTCAAGTGCAGCCGACACTGTAGATGTCTCTCCCAGTGAGGTCCATGGTACAACCCAGATGGCTACCTCCCCATCGACTCCATCGACATACTTAGCTCGATCACCTCGCCTCGGGACGGGTGAGTTCTCGTCTCCCGGCGGCAACCTTGCCCTCGGAGCAGGAGTTGGGGGAGCAGAAGGTCTGCCAGAGCAGAAGATTTTCCCAGGCATTGTTCATGAGAGAGCTCGAAAGGGAAACGTACAATAGAACCACACGTGGGCGGGTTCACTGGACACATCTCACAGACTAGTGGGAGAAAGCAACTCACTGGAGCAATTTTGTAACAATCTAAAATGGAAATTGGCTCACTATCTCGATCGAGTTGAAAAAATTAAAGTGGCCATCTCCGATACAATAATAATGTCCTCGTAGTAGAGTACCATGGGGCATGCGGTACATGTACAATCCCGAGCTCTATTTAAAAATTCAACGCCCGACGAAATAGCCACAGTTGTGTGGGTTCTATATGCACCCGTTTATCATACACGAGTGCACGCTTCTCAATCATAACATGCAAATTAAGTGTTCCAAGTACTTCAAATGGCCCAGCTACCTCTTCGTTCTGGCAGTCCCCAGCCTTCAAGGTTGGTATCTTCTTCCGCCATGCCAGGCTCTTGTCTCGCCCATTCCTGGATATATAGACGGAGAGCTTTCCATCGTGTACAGGCATTCGCGAGGTCGTCCGTCCCTGGGGCTACAACATAGCCTCTATCATCGGTTTGCAAGTCATCCCGGCGAAGGTCCTCGATGGAGATACCCGAAATTCGGCTAAGCTCGTAGTCATAATAACGGGCAAGGCATGGGTAACCCAGAGACAAGTAGTTGTAAATTTGGGTCACAAATCCATCATGGAATTCGGAGTCGATGGCCTTCTGGAGATTAGGGCTTGCCGGTTTCCGGGAACTACGGTTTCCAGGCGAGGCTGCGAGACGATCCAGATGTGTATGGGAAGGAGATGGACTGAGTCCCATGCTAATGCCAGCCTCGTCAACACGAGGCATGGGGGTCACAATGCCAGGCAGGAGACCGTGCAATTCCCGCCCTTGATCCGTGCCCTTGCAACAAGTGCCCATCCAAAGACCAGCACCCTTTCTGCTACCTCGGGGAGGCGCTGCGCACCACAAGTCACCACAGCCAGTACAAGGAGCATGTACGCCACGAGAGCCTATATCGGTGCTAATATGCTCACATATTGTTCCCTCGGGTGAGGTGCTTCGAGGAAGGACGATGTCATTGCCAAGCATGGGCGGGCTCTTGCCATTCTCATTGTGCTCTGGTGCAGACATTGGTTGTCCAGATGCACCCATAGCCCGTATCCTCATTTCAGCCTCCTCCTTGTGGTGGCGCATGTACTCAAGTTCCCAGGACAAATCAGCCGAAGATTGTCGTCGAGACTTGATATAATGATACTTCATTAACACATGATCATCGTCTGAGTCTCGATCATCTTCGTCGATGGCAAAATGATCAACAGGCTCGTACACTTGCTCGTTGGGAAAAGCAGCCAACGCTTGCTCCTTCAACTGGATCTGTGCCGATTGAGCGGCAAGAGAGAGCAAGAATTCCGAGATCTCTCCATCGCAGATTTCACGGGGTACCTTGCTTGTATCTAAATCTTGTATTACTTGATTGAAAGGCCCAGGCGGCGAAGTGCACGCCGAATGCGATCTGGAGTTATCCGAGTCTTCGCTGCTGTTAGAGGGGATCGAAGGGAGATCCGGAACTCGAAACGAGTGTCTTCGGGCTTGTTGTCGGCGCAGAAGATTGGAATACGAAAATTGAGAATCGGACGGTAGATAAGTGTGGGCATGAGGGTTTGGATCTAGCCATGATGTCGTGTCTGGACCAATGATTGTATGGGATGATGAAGACCCCACGGCATCGTGCCGTTGGAGAAACCGGACAGGCACCCCTTTTCGAACTGAGTGGGTGTCGGTTTCTATCAGGTCGGGTTTGAATCTTCTCGGAGCCGCTGATGTCTTGCTATGTGACGAAGAATTTCTCTCCTGTACCTCGGAAGTCGAACGAGACCGTCTATTGCTAGCTTTGCTTGTTTCGATTGGTTCAGGTAGGAATCTTCTGACCGGTCGATATTCACTGGGCTCTTTTGAATGTATAGTTTGTTTTGGTAGAGTAGGTTGATTTGCTTCGCTCGAAACTGGCCGTTGGGTGTTTGAGCTTCGCGACACGGTTTCGATTGGCTGGACCAGGAATCTCCGAGGGACCCTAGGTGATCCTTGACTTTGTGGAGGTACAGATCCGAGTGGCTGATATTGATTATCCGGAAAGGTTGGCTGACACTCGTGAAGAGTTGTCAGATCGTGAAGGCTGTCTGTAGGTTGGCGCACCTCTCTTCCGTCCGTGGGCATGTTCGGTTTCCCGTATACCTCTGAGGGATGGCCCATTGTCTAATTGTCGTAATATATGACAGCTCTGAATCATGCTATTGAATATCAACACGGTAAAGAAAAAACATTGGGAGATTCAGTTGATTTATGGTACGTTGGGTCTTATCGGTGTGTTTGGGAGAGAGCATGCGGGGTCGAAAAAGCGGTCTCGATGTGACTAGTAGAGAAAAAGGGGGTGTCTCCTGATGTAATACATCAGCCACAAATCGAAAAAAAAAACGAAAGTTGAAATGATATCACAAGGTACAAGGTACAAAATGAATCTGTACGCTAATTTAATCTGAAGCTGTAACCTGTGGACTACAAGGCAAGTCTCCAAGCCCCTTTTTTCTGATGACATCAGCCCTGTTACGGTGATAAGGAATCCGATAAGATAAGGTCATTTCTTCCCATTCTCGACTCTCTGCTCGACTCTTCTTCTATACACATGTCCAAGTTCAGCAATGCATTCGAAAGACAAGCGGAAATTCGAGACAGATGATCTCCAACCCGGAGTCTTGAAGCAGCGGAAGGTAATCGGACCTTCTCTTCCTCCACCTCAGGAGGCCGACGCCGCAAACAATGAAATTAGCAATGATGATGATGATGATGATGATGATGATGATGATGATGATTTCGGTCCAAGCCTTCCTCCCTCTGGCCCACTGAAAACCTGTGTGCAGCAAGAGCCTACTACTTTTGATATAAATAAACCGGTGCAGAGGGAAAGTCGGCGAGACCAGTGGATGCTACAACCTCCTTCCCATTCCGACTGGTCTTCCAGGATCGACCCAACACAATTACGAAATCGCAAATTCAATTCAGGCAAATCAGCCACGGCACCTAAAAGCATGGATTCCTCGTGGGTGGAGACCCCAGAGGAGCGAATGAGGCGACTACAGGATGCAGTTATGGGCGTGGCTGCTTCAACAAATCAGCCTGAGGACCACAAACGTGCTTCCAACGCAAAGCTGATGGAGGATCAAATCAAGAGATACAAGGTAATTTTTGGCATATCCTTTCCTCCTAAACGCGCTTCTTACTTGATTTTCTCCGTGTTCCATTATTTTGCTCTAACTTGGGTGATCTTGTTGTAGGACATGACTGGGAAAAACACTAGCCTAGAAACCGCAAATCAGGCTGGGAAAGAAGATGATGATCCAAGTGCGCGCGCATTTGATCGAGAGAAGGATATGGCAGTTGCGTCAAAAATATCCAGCGCGCAGCGCCGGGAGATGGTAAAGAAGGCTGCGGATTACAACACGCGTTTCACAAAGGGCAACTTCTTATAGTTATTCCCGGCTATCGCCAAATGTCCTTGTTTATACTTTGAATGGCAACGGGGCGACCTTTCAATCAATCAATCAATCAAAGTTCAATTAACCTGTTGCAGTCTAACTAGTTGCGTATGACTATACAGGCGCTTCTCCAACCGAAGCAAGAACTCGAGACCCAACGCCGAGCGGGATCGCTCCCAAAGTATACAGATGATGCCGAAGTAAAGAGTGCGGAATCAGCCCATTCCCGTAACCCGTTCAACCCACAAACGTAAAACCATGCCTAAACCTATACATAAGAAATTATTTAATGAACGTAATGGAGTGCACCCTCCACTTCTATCTCTCACTCCCCTCTTACTTCTATACCTCGCTTCTCTCTGCTTCCTCCCCCTACCTTAGTTTTAGTTAATAGTGACGTTCTTAGTGGCTAGTTCTTTAGTATATTTAACATCCCTAGCTAAGTTTCTCGCGTTGTAGCTTCATTTTCGTTATTAGCTAATACCTATCGTCTTCTAACGTATTCGGTAAGCGAGTGGGCCATGTAAGCCAGTGGGCCACCCAACCCAACCTACCAATTTTAAATATAAATATGTCAACCAAAACGCCATTAAATTAAATATACTAAAATCATCTATCTAGCTAGGCATCTATTAATCATATGCCCTATTTCTCCACAACCACTACACTTTGGGGGGGGGGGGGGGCCCTATACGTGGTTGTAAAGCCGGCGAAGGGCTTCTTCGTGGAGGAAGAGGAGGTACTTCAATTGCTTCCACCGGCTCAGTAATCAATTGAGAAGCTTCTTGAACTGAGAGGCCTTCTTCAGCAGGTATCTGCCTCCGGGATCTAGTACGCTTTTGCTTCTGCTTCTCGTTGGCGGCGCGTAAATCCTTGTTTTCTTTGGCGAGTAAGATGGCACCTTGCATTGTAAGACGGAAG